CTCCTCCAGTGTCTTCCTTTGCCTTGATCATTTTGTGCTGACCTCCCATTTATTGTGTATTGTCATTCCTTTGCCCAGGTTCATATGTGTTTTCCGTCTAATTAGTGATTTGCCCTCCCTTCTCCTACCACCCTTAGTAACCTTTAAAGAATGTTTCTTTCTGTACTTAAATCTTTTCTTGACTTTTTACAGTAGTGGTCTCATACAGTATTGGTCCTTTTGTGATTGACTAATTTCACTCAGCATGATATCCTCTGTTATTGTTGTTCTTGTTGTTATATGCCATCGAGTCGGACTCGACTCATATTGACCTCTCTCCTTGGGTTTCTGAGGTGGTATCACTACGGAAGTAGATTGCCCAACCTTCCTTCCAAAGAGTGGCTGGTGGGTTTGAACCACCAACCTTCTGGTTAGCAGTCAAGTGCCTTAGGCACTATGCTACCAGAGCTCCTTATAATATCCTCTAGGTATATCTGTGTTATGAAGTATTTTGCAGATTCATCATCAGTCTGTAACATTGTTTGGTATACCATTGTTTGCATGTACCATAGTTTGTTTATCCATTGATAGCCACTTAAGTTATTTCCATCTTTTTGCTATTGTGCATACCTCTGTGATGAATGTAGTTGTGCATTTATCTGTTTATGTCATGGCTCTTATTTCCCTAGGATATATACCTAGTAGTGGGATTGCTGGATCATATGGGTTTCTACTTGCAATTGTGAAGGAAGTACCATACCATTTTTCACAGTGCTTGCACTGTTTTATAGTCGCACCAGCAGTTTATGAGGGCTCCAGTCTCTCTACATCTTCACCATAATTTGTTGTTTTCTGTTTTTTTGTATTTTAGAGTTTATGTCACCATTTTTATTACACTTTTTTTTCCCCCCATTTCTAAGAGCACTTTCTCCTTCTTTTTTTTTTTTTTTTGAACTTTGCTATTAATGCTGGAGGAGATATTTCATTGCAGTTTTTATTTGCATCTCTCTAATGGCTAATGAAGGAACTCTGGTGGCATAGTGGTTAAAGCATTTGGTTGCTAACCAAAAGGTAAGCAGTTCAAACCCACCAGCCACTCCACAGGAGAAAGATGAGGCAGTCTGCTTCTGTGAAGATTTACAGCATTGGGCACCCTATAGGGCAGTTCTACTCTGTCCTACAGCACTGCCATGAGTCGGAATCTACTTCCATAGTGATACTGCCTCAGAAACCCAAGAAGGTTCAACTCTATGGCAGTGAGTTTGGTTAGCAGCTCTGGCAGCCTAGTGCCTAGGCCTAAGACAAAGGCTGACAGTTCAAACAGATAGTTGTATTTCATTTTTGCCAAATTGGGAGCCTTTTATTTCCCTTTCTTGCCTTGTTGCTCTGGCTAAGATTTCCAATACAATGTTGAATAGAAGTGGTGATAGAGGGCATCTTTGTCTGGTTCTCATTCACAAGTGGAACACTTTCAGTCTCAGGTTACAGTATTTTTAATTTCTCTCCAGGTTGAAATATAAGGCTTCACTCAGACACTGATGTCTGTAACAGTAATTTCCTATACATTGTCTCACTTGACACAGGTGTTGTGAGGCTGGCAGTGCAGGAATGTGAGAAGTGAGCCCCAGATTGCAAATGTTAGAGCAGGGAGTAGAGCCCAGGCATTAGAGCACTGGATACATTGCTCTTACCCAGTTGCCCAGTCCTAGCATTGACCTTTACAGACTATCATGAATGTCTCAACTAAGTTAACTACTGCCTAGCATGCAACTTGATTCTAGCTACAGTAATTAATGATAAAATAAATGCTTTTTGTGTCCAAAAAAAAAAATTCGTTTTAGTATTCTTAATTATATTATGCCTTAGTTTCTTAGTGTTGTTGTAACAAAAATACCACAAGTAGTTGGCTTTAAACAATAGGAATTTATTTTCTCACAGTTCAGAAGGCTAGAAGTCCAAATTTAGGGCATGGCTCTAGAGGGAGTTCCTTCCATGTCATTAGACCCATGATGATCTTGACATTCCTTGGCCTTTTTTGGCAGTCCTTTATGTCTGTCTTCCCCTGTGTGTATTCAGCTCTTTTTATAACTCAGAGGTAGTTAAGTATAGAACCCACCTTCCTCTGATATGCCCTCACTAACATAACAAAGGAAAACCTCTGTTTCCAAACAAAATCAGGTACAAGGGTTAGGGTTTCCATACATATTTTAGGAGGACACAGTTCAGTCCACAAGCAAAAAACAGTTGCTGTCAAGTCAATTCTGACTCATGGCCACCCTCTGTGTCAAAGTATAACTGCTCTATAGGGGCTGATTTTTCAGAAGTAGGTCACCAGGCCTTTTTTCCATGATGCCTCTGGAGGACTCAAACCTCCAAACTTTCAATTAGCAGCTAAGCATATTAACCATTTGCATCACCCAAGGACTCTCGATCCACAGCACATTATGTCCAATCTCCAAAAGGACCATGCCAGATGGGCACTATTATCCTCATTTTACAAATGAAGAAATTAGTTCAGGGAGCAACTCGTCCAAAATCATATATCTATCTAATAAGTGACAAAACCAAGATTTAGTCACAGTTCTCTGATCTAAGTCAAAGGAACAGGAAGAAGAAAGGGAAGTAAGAGAAGGGGCAAAAGGAAGAAAAAGGGGGAGATGCAGGAGGATAGGGAGAAAAAGAAGGAAGAAAGAGGAATAGGAAGAGAGGGAGAAAATATAGCATTGGAAAAAGAGAAAGCAAGAGTGTGGGAAAGAGGAGAAGGAGGAAAGGAAAAATGGGATAGGAAGAGGAAGGAAGAAAAAGGGAAAAAAGGGAGAAGAAAAGAACAAGGGGAAAAAGAGAAATAGCAGTAGAAAAAAGAGGCGAGAATCAACTCTTTTGCCAGATTCTAGAAAGTAGTGGAGGAGGTTAGGAAATCAGCAGCCGGACTTCAGAGCTACTCTGCCAGTGATCCCAAAGGGCTGAATGCATTCATGAGCACAATTGCTTCAGATGTTTCATAAGCTTTTATTTATGCAATGTTCGCATGTTTATTTAACTGTGTGTTTAATATTTGGCCATTAAATTCATGATTTTTTTTTTGCTTAGAGAGAGACTAAGTTAAAATCATGAGTTGATTTTTAAAAGTGCTGTTGTTGTTGTTGGGTGTCAATGAGTCATTTCCAACTCATAGCAACCCCATGCAACAGAGTAGAACTGCCCCTTAGGGTTTTCTAGGCTGCTATGTTTGAAGGAGATCACTAGGTCTCCAGGAGATAATTACAGGTGGCCTGGTACAAAAATGTCTGAAGTTTAGGGATTCTGGGAGGCTATTACCACATCCCACCTGCCCATGGTAACAAGCCAATCAGACATGGCTGTGCTGGTATACTGATTTGGACCATTATGAAGCTAACAAATATCTCTCCTTGTGTTTGTTTGTTAACAGAAAGGCAAATCTGAAGAACTCCTAAGTGCTTTGGGATGCCAAGACTTTCCTCCCACTTCAGATTGTGAGGACTTGCTGGTGGAGTTTTTAGAAGTGGATGACAGTGAGGACCAGCATCTAATGCCAGCCCACTCAAAGGAATACCCAAGTCACAGCCTGAAGCCTACTCACCGGGATCCTGACAATGACTCTGGCCGGGGCAGCTGTGACAGCCCTTCCCTTCTGTCTGAAAAGTGTGAGGAACTCCAAGAAGATCCCCCTACATTCCACACCCCTGCGATCATTGAGAAGCCAAAGAATCCTGAAGTGAATATTACCTGCACCCATGACCCCCAGGATACACACTTGGAAGGTAAAATACTGTATTTTCATGCTGACAGATCCAAATCTTCAACGTGGCCTTTACCGTCACTACCCAGCCACCACATCTCACAATCTTCTTACCACAACCTTGCAGATCTGTGTAAGCTCACCATGGGCCCTGTGAGTACAGCCACCACTTTGTTGGACAAAGCAGAAAAGGACGCTATGAAAAGATCTAAAACTATCGAGACTGAAGGGGAAGGAAAGGTAGACAAGCCAATAAAGGTGGAAAGCTTTCATTCCAAGCCTGAACAAGACCCAGCATGGCTGCTGCCCCAGCAGAAAACCCCTTTTCTCTCTGCAAAAGCTTTGGATTATGTCGAGATTCACAAGGTCAACAAAGATGGCGCACTAGCATTACTACCAAAACAGAAAGAGAACAGCGAAAAGACAGAGAAGCCGGGTTCTCCAGGAACTAGTAAGGAGTATGCTAAGGTGTCCAGGGTGATGGATAACAACATCCTGATCTTAGTGCAAGACCCTCGAGCTCAAAATGGGACTTGGTTGGAAGAACCAGGCAAAGAGGCTCCTCCGTCACATCAACAGAATCAAGCTGAGAAAAACCTGGCCGGCTTCCCTGTGACACCAAACAACTGCAGACTCCGGATGGGGGGCTTGGATTACCTGGATCCTGCGTGTTTCATGCATTCCTTTAACTGATAGCTGGACTCAAGGAATGATCGACTGCAATGTGATTTTTCTTCAGGTAACACTACAGAGTCAATGAAATGGAATCTAGTAGAGGATGTTCAAGAAAATGGTTAGGATGAAAATACTCAAACTCACTTGCTGTTCGCTTGTTTCCGTATGCTCCATTTTCAGCCAGTTTCCTTTCTCCAGCAGCCAGTTCCAGAGCAAATCACTTTGTCTCCTAACTGTGACTTGTAGATTTACTTTTTGCAAGTAGTTATAAAATTATATGATCAATGAAATAAAAGCACGTTGCTCAGTATCCATGAGGGCCAATGCCAATAGGTATAACCCTTTGGAAAAGTTTCTTAGGGTTTAGTATGTGACAGAAGGAAATGAAACAGTCAAAGCTGTTTAATTCAGGAAAATGAAAGATACAGAGAAAATGCCATGAAAACTGCTTTTGGAAATCAATTGCTTCACCTGTGCACTCCTCTTGCATTTTATTAATCCTGAAATGGTTAGGATTAACTAAACACAACACACTGAAGGAAAGAATGCATTCCAGAACTCCCGACGAATTGTTTACATAGCTCCTATACCTTACTGCAGTTACTCAAGTAAAAATGATGCCTCAAATTTTTTTCTTAAAATTGTTTGAATCTGCTGAGCATGGATTTTTTTCCCCTAAATTTTACTTCATTCTCAAACCTCTATAGAATATAGTTTTGGAAAGTAAAATTTTCTTCCATGACAGGCAAATGAATTTCATATGATAAATCCATCTAAAATGTTTTCCTGCTTCATTTCAACAGGATAGATAACATACTACACACCCTAGTCTTCTCTTAGTGGGGGAAAAAAAATCCCAAAAGATTAACTTTAATTAAGAGATAATCACAGCAGGATGCTCATGGAAATACTGCCTTACTGTACATACAAATTCTACTTTAATACAAACCCGTAAGTTTAACAATGTATTTTTGAAGACTATTTTTCTATCACTTAGGTAAAATAAAAGACTATTTTCTATCTTCCCAGTACAGCTGTTTACGTATTCAGTGGGTACAGTATTTTCTGCTATGAGGTTATGAGTATTTACAGTACATAGTAGCATATGCAGTCCCAGTTTGTGGAGTAAAATGCCATACCAACCCAAAGCCCACTAAAACATACGAAGGGGATGACGAAGCTCAATTTCCAACACAGTGTTGTATAGACCATCTGAGTTCTTTTTAACTCTAAAATACTTTGAACAATGACAACTGCCAAACTAGGCTTTTAGGACTCTCCAGAGACCAAAAATTTCTTCTTCTGCAAGGTTCGGACTACTCTGGGGCTTTTGCCCTTCTAGGGGTGAATCTTCATGAAAGTGCTGACCTTTTGCACAGTCTTTCAGAGAGAGGGTTTTTGCTTTATTTTTTATCTTTCTGAACAATTTAGGCAGAAGTTAGTTCTCTCTCTGGAATAGACCCATTTGCAAAATCTTGACAGAAAAGGAGAGGATGCTCACTCACATCAGAAGTGTCCAATAAAAGTTCTAGAAAACCAAGCATCCGTGGAAACAGCTCCAAAGACCAGGATATGGCAATGAGAATCTCTACAAGGACAGGCACCCCCACTGGAGTCAAAAACCTGAATCTCCATTTGAAAGGAAACATTCACGACTTCCCTACTCTGTGGCCCCAAAAACCCACTGCCATCGAGTCAGATCGGACTCATAGCAATCCCTCCTTGAGTTTCTGAGGCAGTATCACTACGGAAGTAGATTGCCCAACCTTCCTTCTGAGGAGTGGCTGGTGGGTTTGAACCACCAGCCTTCTGGTTAGCAGTCAAAATGCCTTAGGCACTATGCTACCAGAGCTCCCTACTCCTTGGCTGAGCTCCCTTTATTTTTCATGTTACCTGATGGTGTAGTTTCTGCATGGGTCTGGATCACATTGCTCTGTTTGTCTTCACTAGCTGGACATAGAGAACCTCTGTGAGTTACCTGTTCCACACCAAAAAGACCAGGTTGATAAAACTGGACTCAGAGGTGAGCTGATGTTTGAAAGTGAACACATTGCTAGTGGTTCCAGAACTGCAAAAGTAGTAGATCTGAGGCTCTCCTTTCCCAAAATATGAACAACATCCTGGTAGTGAGGGGAGGGTTGGGGAAAGTTCTCCAAGCTCATTCAGTCCTCTAACTCCTCACTACTCAAAGTAGTCTGAGGACCAGCAGCATCAGCATCCCTGGTCATTGGCTAAAATTGCAGAATCTCAGGCCCTGCCTCAGACCTACAGAATCAAAATCTGCATTTTACTAAGATCACCAGATGATTCAGATCCACATTAAATTTGAGAAGCCTTGCCCTTGATGATCATTTCCACTAAAGAGTATTTTAGTGCAAGGAAACCATCCTGTCTTAATAGTATAGATCAAGTCTGTTTGACTTGTGCTTTATAGTGCTCAGAACACAAGCTCTAAAGAGAAGGCATAATTAAAACACACATACACACATATAAAAACTGCAAGTGACTTAAGACTCACATAATGATAGACTGACTGGCAAAAGTGTACACAACTTCCAAGAAAATCTGGGAATTTTTTTCACTTTGAGAGATATTAACAAAAGGCCATATGCCTTTAAAGCCAATACTGATTAAACCCTTGCCAAACTAGTCCATTCTTCTCTAAGATGTGTATCAATTATTTTTATAGTTTGACAACTTGAAAATAACCTATTTCTGACATATAATTTGGCATATATGAAAAAATATGTTAGGGCTAAAGAATCAACTTGAACTAATATCCATAAGGAAAAAAAAAACTACTCATTAAGTGAAATCAAGACTATAATTCTATGGTCAATTAGCAGTATTTATTTTGAATTGAGATTTTGGAAATGGTCTAACATATTTTCTATCAAGTATACTACAGCTGGCATCATGATTGGAGAAAGACTTATTAACCACCTGTCATACACAAATGACACAATCTTGCTTGCTGAAAGTGAACAGGGCTTCAAGCACTAACTGATGAAGATCAAAGACTATAGTCTGTAGTAGGGATTACACCTCAACATGCAGAAAACAACAATCCTCACTATTGGATTAATAAACAACATCATGATAAACAGAGAAAAGATAGACAATGTCAAGGATTTCATTTTACTTGGACCCACAGTCAACACCTATGAAAGCACCAGTCAAGAAATCAAACAATGTGTTGCAAAATCTATTGCAAAAGACTTCTTTAAAGGGTTAAAAAGCAAAGATATCACCTTGAGGATGCCTAACCCAAACCATGGTATTTTCAATCACTTCATATGCATGCAAAAGCTGGATAGTGGATAAGGAAGACCAGAGAAGGATTGATGAATTTGAATTATAGTTGGCAAGAATATAGAATATACCATAGACTGCTAGAAGAACAAACAAATCTGTCTTGGAACAAATAGAGCCAGAAAGCTCCTTGGAAACAAGGATGGCAAGACTTAGTCTTAATATACTTTGGACATGTTATAAGAAGGGACCAGTCTCTAGAGAAGGACATTGTGCTTGGTAAAGAAGAGGAACAGTGAAAGAGAGGAAACCCCTCATCAAGATGGATTGACATAGTGTCTGCAACAAAAGGATCAAAAAAAAAAAAAAAAAAAGAAAGAATGCTGCAGGACTAGGCAGTGTTTTGTTCTCTTGTATGTAGGAACATGGAATATACAAAATATGAATCTAGGAAAATTGGAAGTTGTCAAAAATGAAATGAAACACATAAAGATTGATATCCTAGGCATTAGTGAGCTGAAATGGACTGGTTTTGGCCATTTTGAATCAGACAACCATATGATCTACTATGCCAGGAATGACAAATTGAAGAAAAATGGCATGGCATTCATCATCACAAAGGATGTTTCAAGATCTGTCCTGAAGTATAATGCTGTCAGTGATGGGATAATATCCATACACCTACAAGGAAGACCCATTAATACTACTATTATTCAAATTTATGCACCAACCACCAAAGCCAAAGATGAGGAAATTGAAGATTTTTATCAACTTCTGCAGTCTGAAACTGACAAAATATGCAATCAGGATGTGTTAATTATCACTGGTGACTGGAATGCAAAAGTTAGAAACAAAGAAAAATCACTGGTAGTTGGGGAATTTGGCCTTGGTGAAAGAAAGAATGCTGGAAATCGCATGGTAGAATTTTGCAAGACCAATGACTTATTCATTGCAAATACCTTTTTTTCAACAACACAGATAGTGGCTGTACACATGGAGTTCACCAGATGGAACACACAGGAATCAGATTGATTATATTTGTGGCAGGAGGCGATGGAAAATCTCAATATCTTCAGCCAAAAGAGGCCAAGAGCTGATTGTGGAACAGACCATCAACTGCTCATATGCAAGTTCAACTTGAAGTTAAAGACAATTAAAACAAGACCATGAGAGCCAATATATGATCTTGAATATATCTTTCCTGAATTTAGAGATCTTCTAAAGAATAGATTTAATGCATTGAACACCAATGACCGAAAACCAGAATTGTGGAATGGCATCAAGAATATCATCCATGAAGAAAGCAAGAGGGCACTAAAAAGACAAGAAAAAAAGAGAAGACCAAAATGAATGAAAGAAGAGACTCTGAAACTTGCCCTTGAGTGGAGAGTAGCTAAAGTAAATGGAAGAAATGACAAGATAAAAAATAGCTGAACAGAAGATTTCAAAGGGCAGCTCAAGAAGACAAAATCAATTATTATAATGAAATATGCAAAGACCTGGAATTAGTAAACCAAAGGGAAGAACACACTTAGCATGTCTCAAGTTGAAAGAACTGAAGAAACAATTAAAGTCTTGGGTTGCACTATTGAAGGATTCTATAAGCAAAATATTGAATGATGCAGGAAACATCAAAAGAAGATGGAAAGAATACACAGAGCCACTGTACCAAAAATAACTGGTCAATCTTCATCCATTTCTGAAGGTGGCATATGATCTAGAACCAATGGTACTGAAGGAGGAAGTCGAAGCTGCAATGAAGGAAC